CATCAGGAGGTGTGGGCTGCGGAATCACCAGTACGCTGACGATACCCAGCTCTACCTCTCGTTTTCCACCAATCCAGGTGAGGCAGTGGCTGTACTGAACCGGTGCCTGGCCGAGGTAATGGGCTGGATGAGGGCCAATAAACTGAAGCTCAATCCAGACAAGACAGAGGTCCTGTTGGTTGGCAGACCAGGCTTCGGGGAGGGTGAATTGAACCTAGTCCTGAATGGGGTTGCATTCCCTCTTAGGGACAAGGTCCGCAGCTAGGGAGCGCTCCTCGACCCAGAGCTTTCACTGGAAGCTCAGGTGACAGCGGTGGCGAGGAGCACTTTCTTTCAGCTTCGGTTGATCCATCAGCTGAGCCCCTACCTAGAGAACGACTGCCGGGCGACAGTGACACACGCGTTGGTGACTTCCCGACTTGACTTCTGTAACGTGCTCTACGTGGGGCTGCCCTTGAAGACGGTCCGGATACTTCAAAATAGAGCTGCCAGGCTGCTGACGGGGACTGGGTGTTGTGCTCACATGACTCCAGTCCTCCGTCAGTTTCACTGGCTTCCCATTGAAGTCCGGGCCCAATTCAAGGTGTTGGTGATGATCTATAAAGCCCTTAACGGCTTGGGTCCTGGTTACCTGAAGGAGTGCTTGCGTCCATATGTGCCCGCCCGCCCCTCGAGATCAGCAGGAGAGGCCCTTCTCTGGGAACCCTCCGTGAAGGAAATTAGGAAGGTAAGCGCTCGGAGGAGGGCTTTCTCGGCGGTGGCGCCCAATCTATGGAATGCGCTCCCCAGAGAGGTCTGCCTGGCACCGTTGTTATTTGTTTTTCGGCGCCAGGAGAAGACCTTTTTATTCAAATGTTATTTTAATTGTTAATATTATTTATTCATTTTATTATTTGGCCAGGGCAACTTAATTTATATTGTTAATTTATATTGTTTCATTGAATTTTATTTATTTGTGGTTTGTGAGCCACCCCAAGGCTTCGGCAAATGGGGCAGCATAGAAGTCGCCTAAATAAATAGATAAATAACAAGAAAATCTGTATCTATTACAAGACAAAACAATTACCAAACAATACATGAAAATCTATGTCAATGAAGACTTGTCATAATGAAAGTAAAATTTCAATTTCAAGGATAAAAGAACAGCAGGATGAATTTTTGGTCACAAAATCTTGAAAATGTCTTAGGGAGAATGCAGGAGAGATTAAAAATGCTGAATGCTTTCAGTGTTACAATATACTGATCTGATGTTATTGAAGGGTTTTATTTAAGTAGTGTGTCATTATAAATTTGGTCTAGAATTGAATCTTTCATTTATTGGGCATGTGTTTTTACTGATTGTAATCTTGTATTTATTGCCAGCCACCTCAGTCTTGATTTCAGATATAAAAGCAGGATACCAATATGAAATTAAATAAAATAATTATTTGTAGCTAGAATCTTAAAAATACTTATGCAATTAAACATAAAGGTATAACAACTGCAAACATTCTTACCCCTCTGTATGGAATATAGTCCTAAAACTGTGCCTCAAGCTCTTGTAACTCGATGGATCAGTTTTGCCTCTTTGAATCTGGAACCTATAAAAATAGTTCATGATCAGTCAGAATTCATACAAGGATTGTAAAAAGCAAGTTCTGCTTCAAAGATTACATTCACAGAAGTTATTCTACAACATTCCTTCTTGCAAAAATAATGTTTCCATTATTATATAGCATCTTTAAATCTACAGTTTTCTGAAATTGCCATTATCCCCACTGTACAAATGGTGGGCCTGGGAAGTCACTCATTCTTCTCCTGTCAGTCTGGCGATATGACACTCTTCCTTAAATTTCTTCTGGTTGTTTGTCCCCTTGCCTTTGCTTTCAAAGGCATCCATAGCCCCACCTCCCTTCTCTCATATCCCAGTATACGCCTGCTTTCCAGTTCTGCTACCAACAACCATCCAAAGGCCCATGCTCCTTCAAAGGACTCTTGTCCTGTCTTTCTTGCTGCCCTCTGTGTTTGAAACTGCTTCCCAGAGAGCCTCTCTTACTATCTTCAAATCTGTCCTCAAAATATACCTTTTCCATGAAGCATTTGCCTCAACAGCTTCATCACCACACTCTACTGTAATGAAGACTTTGACTAAGGCTAAGCATGTGCAACTAAAACAACCACATGTGGCTTCCCTGAATATTCTGCCTCCATCAACCCTCCCAGGGCTGGTCCCAAAGCACAAAATGGCATCATTTTGGCCTCACTCTGCCTAATGACAGGACCAGCCTTTGCTTCCTCTTCTGTTGTTTCCCTTGTGATCAAATTGAAATTGCATGCTCCTGGGAGCAGGGATGTTGCTCTCGAACTCTCTACACCTGCTGTTTCTACTATATGCATTGTAGCATAATTCATAACATAGTGTTTCTTGGGTTTTTTTCGTTCTACTTATTCAAAATAGGGAGGAGGTAGGACCTGAATCCAAAACATATCAGGTCAAAGCCCAGCAAAGTGTCCTCTGGTTTTCACCTGCCTGTCCCATGTATTAGTACTTAACTTAGTTTCATAGGACTAAACCAAAACATAAGATAAAGTAACTTCCTACCATAGCATAACATTCATAGTGTTTAAATATGCCATTGGTTTTCTGCTTTCAGGATTATTATACAACTGTTATAAGCAAAGTTTAGTTTTTGATGTACAGCATCATTCTTAGAGCAACAGTCTTTTTTAGCACTCCATTTTGAATAGGCACAACAGTCAATAGTTTAAGACTAAAAGCATACTGGGTTTTACAAGCTGTGGAAGGATGGGCTACCTGCCTCTTTCTTTTGGCCTATTCACTCCTGCAAGCTGAATGGGAAAAGGAGCTGTATATTCTGAATGAACAGTTCTTTTTAAATTTAATCTGTCAAAATGATTTTGTATCTCTTTTAATCCATCTGAAATTATTGAGGTGTGTTCCACTAATTTCACTCTTTCTTCCTTTGCACCTAATCCAGCTTTTCTTATGATATGTTCTTTGTAAAGATTGAACAGATAGGGAGATAAAATACACACTTGCCTGACACTTTTACCTACAGGAAACCATTCTGTTCTCCAGATTCTGTCCTATCTTGTCTTCTTGCCCATGATGCAAGTAAGAGATCAGGGTAATGAAATGCTGAGGCACACCTGTTTCTTTCAGAACCATGCATAGCTTCTAATGACACATGCACACACACGCACACAGACAGGTATTTTTTCATACCTATGCATTGTAAGTCATTCATTTTTATGAATGTAAGAAAATTGCATTTTTTCTTTTAAATATTTTTGCTTGCTTTTTTGTTTTGGTGAAATTCACATTAAAAATAGCTAAACCAAACCAAACAAACAACTCAGGCTGCAACTTATTCCATGTCTGCTCCTGCTTGTAATCTGCTATGACAACATTGCCTGGGCAGATTTTAAAAATAACAAATAGCTTTTCCCACTTTATGCAGTCTAGCAGTGGATAATGTTGGGGGTGAGGGAGTGAAAGAGTAACAGCTACATAATTCCCAATTTTAGACTATATACTTAAATAGATGATCAAGAGATTGGTAAACTGGTTCTACAAGTTTGGGACCAATCCGGTTCCAATTTTGTCAGAATTCAGGCTGCCTTTGGCATGGAGACAGCCCTGTGTGATCATCTATGTCAGAAGAGAAATAGAAAGAGTATGATCTGTTGATTCTTCTTTTCATGGTAGCTTTCGATACCATCAACGACGGTATTCTTTTGGGATACTATCTGAGCTGGGAATGGCAGGCATTGCATTGCAGTGGGTTCATGCCTATTTAGTTGGCTCTGTAAAATGAAGTTTTGGGGATATTGTTCAGCCCCATCAATGTATGAATTAAATATATCTTTGAGGCACATTTGAAAACATATACAAAAATCTTCACAGAAATGATCCCACTTTCTTCTATGTCAGGAAAAGGTTTGCAGGTGTTGTTACAATTTTATTGGAAGGATCAAGTATGGACCAAGTCTGTACAGTGTAACAATTAGACTACAGTGAAATAAGTAATTTGCAGAAAAGACTGGTATGCTTTAATGAACTCTTTCTCAATAGCCACAATAAAAACAAGTTTTTACGTGGTTCACTTTTTAGTCTGCCACAATCTCCAGTCAGCACAATCTGTTCAAAGCAGCTTTCTTCAGTCTGTGTGTCTCTTTAGATGCTTTGAGCTACAGCTCCTATCAATTTCAGCTAGCAATGGCCAAGGATGATGGGGGTTGTAACATCAGGAAGGAATAGGGTTGAGGAATGCTGAGCTAAAGGTAGGTAAATATTGTAGATTTTAACAAGAATGATTGAAAGGAATGAGCCTTAAAGGTAGATAGTCTGGGCTGGATTGTTACTTTAAGCAGATTCTTAATGTGACCATTTTCAAAGTTCTACTAGACAAATTGTCTGCAATGTAAGAAAAATATACTGAACAATTACAAAAGGAAGTCCACACCTCCTTAGAGTGCACTTACAAAGGACCCCTTCTATAGTCCAGTAAAAGTGGTTCTGGCACATCTGGAATCTCTGTCTACAGGAACGTCTTTTATTAGAGAAAAAAATGTTGCCAAGTTGGCAGAGCAGCTAATGTTCTTCAACAGCTTTACACTTCAGTTAGAACTGCTGCATGACTTTTTTCCTTCCTTCCTTTTTTCTTTTGCAAAGAGCTCTTGGGAAGGTTAAAACTCTCACATCCTCCAGTGGCACTGCACAAAGTACAACTGTAATAACAGCCACAGTGGAATCCTGAAAAATGTTTAAAGGGGCAACAAGAAAATGGGGCAGGGGGAATCTCCACCAAACATTAATCAGGCAGGGTATCTGTATTAATTTGAGAATGTTCATTTTCTGTGCAGCTGAAAATGACATGTAATGGAGCACAAGGTGTTCAATAAGTTTCATTAAATGGCCTAAAATAGGTGAGCAGTGAATTACCAAAACCTGCAGATAATACAAAATTATTTAAGATGTGCATGTGCCCAAAATAAACTTTGAGGGATTACTGGGGCTGTAGGTTGGGGGGAAGGTAGAAATCTTTGTGACTCAGATGAAGAACAGATGAAATTCAGCACAGATGTAAAAAAATCATGTGGAACACAGGGTTGACTTTGGCCACTAATCTAAGTCCTTTGCAGGTGTACAGTAACCATGGAAACTGAATACACTTGGCCAATTAAGCAAGATTCAACCAAAACTGGCACATTGATTAAAATGTCTGTAGAATGCCTCAGTACATGTGTAGTGAAGGTCTTCTGCAAAATGTAAGATAAATGTGCATGGCTCAAGTTGTCACTCTCACAACTGATGAACCTCCATTTCAGTGTCTGCAGATAGCCCCGGGTAAATGCTTGGGTGCCCTTATAGGCTTTCAATTCTCGATCCAATAAACTGAAGCTCAATCCAGACAAGACGGAGGTCCTGTTGGTTGGCGGACCGGGCTTCGGGGAGGGTGAATTGAACCTAGTCCTGAATGGGGTTGCATTCCCTCTTAGGGACAAGGTCCACAGCTTGGGAGCGCTCCTCGACCCAGAGCTTTCACTGGAAGCTCAGGTGACAGCGGTGGCGAGGAGCGCTTTCCTTCAGCTTTGGCTGATTCACCAGCTATGTTCCTACCTGGAGAACGACTGCCTGGAGACAGTGACACACGCATTGGTAACTTCCCGATTAGACTTCTGTAACGCGCTGTACGTGGGGCTGCCCTTGAAGATGGTCTGGATACGTCAGATGGTACAAAATAGAGCTGCCAGGTTGCTGACGGGGACTGGGTGTTGTGCTCACATGACTCCAGTCCTCCGTCAGCTTCACTGGCTCCCCACTGAAGTCCAGGCCCAATCCAAGGTGTTGGTTATCACCTATAAAGCCCTTAATGGCTTGGGACCTGGTTACCTAACGGAGCGCTTACGTCCATATGTGCCCTCCTGCCCCTTGAGATCGGTGGCAGAGGCTCTTCTCCGGGAGCCCTCCGTGAAGGACATTAGGAGGGTGAGTACCCGGAGGAGGGCTTTCTCTGCGGTAGCGCCCCACTTATGGAATGCGCTCCCCAGAGAGGTCCGCCTGGCGCCATCATTATTTGCTTTTCGGCGCCAGGCCGAGACCTTTTTATTTAAACGTCATTTTAATTGTTGATTTTATGTATTGATTTTAACAACTTTGGCCAGGATGTCTCCAATATTATATTATTGTATTGATGGTATTTATTTATGTTTGCAAGCCGCCCCGAGGCATATGCGAAGGGGACGACATATAAGTTTGCTAAATAAATAAATAAAAATTAAATGTGCATAATAGTTGGAGCTCACTTCCACCCCATTGCACATGATATCCTTGTATCCCAAATGCCCAAGAAACCCTGTAGTTATTTCCAAGTATGCAATATAAACTGTAGCCCTGTGCAGTCCTTTGAAAAGCCTGTAACCTTGATGATGGTGCCCCACATATTACATGGAGGAAAAAAACCCACACAAATAAATAATACTCAGGGAAGGGAGTGAAGGGAAGAAGCAGAGTCACTTCACTGACCCATTTAAGACATCAGAAATCAGGGTTCTTCCCCTCCTTGTACAATATTTT